TGGGAGACCAAGAAGAAGCTCTTGGCTTTTGGCTTCAGATAAGCCCAGCTCTGGCTGTTGAAGCCATTTGGGAAATGAACCAGTGGATGGAATATCTTTCTTGTGTTTCTCTTTGGGAATCTGCCTATTCAATAAAAATAAATAAATCTTAAAAAGATGGTGGAGGGCCCAATGCTGTGTCTCAGCAAACAAAGCTGCTGTCTGCAGTGCTGACACCTTCATGGACACTGGTCCAGGTTCTGGCTACTCCAGTTTTGATCTAGCTCCCTGCTCATGTGCCTTGGAAAGCAGTGGAAGATGACCCAAGTGCTTGGACTCCTGCACTCCTATGAGAGACTCGGATGAAGCTCCAGGTTCCTGGCTTCAGATTAGCTCAGCTCCAGCCATTGCAGACATTTGGGGAGTGAACCAGCGATTGGACAATCTCTGTATCAGTGCTTTTGAAATAAATGAATCAACAACGAAACAATCGGGCTCTCTTACACAGGCGGCAGGGACCACACTACCTGAGCCGTCAGGTGCAAAGCAGCAGCAGGAAGCTGGAGTCAGAAACGGAACCAGAAGGCAGCAGGCGCCCTGTTGTGCGGTGCAGTGTCCCAAGGGACACCCTCATATGGCAACAAACTCAGCCCCATTTCCCTTTTCCCACTTAATGTGGTATCCAGGAGGAGCTGAAGGAATGGAGTTTGATCCTAAAGCTGCGGGAGGGGGTTCGTTGGGGCCAGGGAGAACACAGGGGCTGCAGTGAGAGCTGTGTGTTCCAGGTGGGGGACAGCAGCGCCAAGACCCAGGAGCCAAACTAAGGGGGTTGTGGCCCCTTGTGAGATCTCCAGGGGCAGCATGGGGGCTGGTTCCTTAAAGGCCTGCCCACTGAACCTGGATATCTTTTTGCTATAAATGGGAATTGCACAGAGGGCCTTCTAGGCTTACTATTATTATTTTTTGTTGTTGTTTATTTTCCTTGAAAGGCAGAGTTACAGAGAAAGAAGGAGAAACAGACAAAGGTCTTGCTTCCCTTGGTTCACTCCCCAAATGGCCCCAACAACTGGAGCTGGACCAGTCCAAATCCAGGAGTCTGGGGGAAAGAGGTCTCCCATGCGGGTACAGGGACCCAAACACTTGGGCCATCTTTCACTCACTGCTTTCCCAGGTGCATTAGCAGGAAGCTGGATTGGAAATGGAGCAGCCAAGACTCAAACCAGCACCTAGGTGGGATGCTGACATTGCAGGTGGATGTTTTATCTGCCACACCACAGTGCTGGCCCCTTTGTAACACTTGCTAATAATGAGCCAGTCTTCTGTGTATGTTCTCAGCTAATCCTGCTGGTATACCCATTTCATAGATGAGACTGCAATTTGGCCTGGCTTACCCAAGCAGCCTGCCTGTGGTGGCACAGGGATTTAAACTGGTGCTTTTTTTTTTTTTTAAGATTTTTTTTTTTTTAGTTGAAAGATTTACAGAGAGAGAAAGAAAGATCCTTCCATCCACTGGTGCATTCTTCAAGTGGCTGCAATGGACAGAGCTGCACCAATCGGAAGCCAGGAATCAGGAGCCAGAAGCCTTTTCTAGGTCTCCCACATGGATGCAAGGTCCCAAGGCTTTGGGTCGTCCTTGACTGCTTTCCCAAGCCACAAATGGAGCTGGACACAAAGTGGAGACATGAACTAGTGCCCATATGGGATACCGGATTGTGCAAGGTAAGGATTTAGCCACTAGGTTACAGCACTGGGCCTGGAACTGATGGCTTACTCATGGTACAGACTCAAGACCTCTGAAGAGTTGCCTTGGGCCCGTGGCCCTGTCCTACCTAGCTCTCTCCATCTCTGTTCTGCCTGTGGTCACACCTGTCCCTGACCTTTCTTTCTGGTGGTCCTGGGACAGTAGGATGCACTTCCTGAGCTACACAGCATCTGAAGTCTTTTCTCCCCAGCCTTCTTTTCCGGGTTCTTTTGGCGGGGACACCCCATGTACCTTTCAGGGACTCACCCCTATTTGGCAGTAAGGGCTTAGAAGGGGCTGACTCCACCCACTGACTCCAGGGGTCAGGGTGGTGATCCAGGCTTGGCTAACAGACAGGCTGCGTTTCCTGGCTGTCAGGATTGGTTTGGAGATGGAAACGTGATCTGAGCTGAGCCAGTCAGAAGTGATCCTGGGACCTGCTTTGGAATTCTTGGGGAAAAAAGTTGCTATGTTTGCCAGTAGGGGGGGGAAAGGCCACCTGGGAATGAAGCCAACTGCCCTCCCTGCCCCCATGAGGGTTCAAATCCAGCTTGGCCTGGGACTTTCTAATTAAATCAGCCCAAAACTCTTCCTCCTTTAAGTCTGTTGAAATGGACCTGGTACGTTGTGACCACAAAGGTCCGATTCAGGGTCTTAACAGACAATGGCCACCTGTGGGTGGATGGGAAACCCAGGTGAGGGACAGAGCCACCTGCTGGGGAACAACAGAGCTCTGCTGCCTCCCTAGGGCACCTGGCCAAGACTCCTGGGCATCCCTGGGGCAGAGGGAAGACACAGGGGCTGCAGGTGCTAAGCCAACAGTGCTGTGGGCTCAGGGCCACTGGGCTACTCACCTGCTGGAGGTCTCTGCTCTTCCCTCACTTCTCCTGCTGGACTGTACATGTGGATTTGGGGCAGAGAGAAGGCTGACGCATGAACACAGGTGGGCTGCTTCCGGAATTCCTGCTCTGCAGCCTCCTGGACATGGCCACACGTCCCTACACCACATGGAGGAGTGACTGCTTGTCGGAGCAGGCCACAGCTGCGATAAATTCCATCTGAGTACTCTCCTAGTCAAGGCAGATGAATCTGGATGCTGAGAAGGAAACAAGCAGATGTATTTATTTGTTTGAAAGGCGATGTGACTGAGCAAGAGTGAGAGCAAGTTCTGACATCTGCTCGCCAAATGGCAGCAAGGGCCAGGGCCGGGCCAGGCAGAAGCCAGGGGCCTGGAACTCCACGTTGATCTCCCACCAGGGTGGGAAGGACCACATTGCTTGAGCAGGTGCCCAGGATGGCAGGTACCCAGGCACTGGACTGCCCTCTGCTACCTACCCAGGCTTCATTTTGGAAAGTTTGAGTACAGGCTTTGATAGAGACCTTGGCCTCGGTCTCCAGGGAGAGAAGAGTTGCTTGGGCTCCCCTGTGCCACCGGCAGACTCGGCCAAGTGACTTGTATCTTCACGCTCCTTTCTGGCAACACTGATTTAAAAACACCCACCACCTGCCTGGGCTCCACCAGCCGGCCAAGCAGAGGATTTTGTAAGTTAGGATCTCAGAGCATCCCCTTCCCCACCCCCCCAGCCCTGGAGCAGGGACTGAGTGAGAACTTGCTTTGGGGTGCAGTGTGGTCTGAGCACTCAAGGAGGGGGTACTGGGTGTGTCAGAGAGGGTGACCACTTGGAGGCGGTCTGGTACAGATAGGGGCTGGTATAGGTAGGAAGAAGTCACAAAGCTTGGATAAACTTCCTGCCTGGAGGGAGGGAGGGAGGGAGAAAGGAATTTTCCTTCCTTACACAGCATTTTCCTCCTGCCCTAAGTCCTGGGATTCCACCTGGAAGGAGGTAAATTTCCATCCCTTTAGAACTTAGGTGTGAGCTAGGCAAGCTAGGCAGAGGGTAGGAGTACTTCAAAACATTTTTGGGAAATGACAAGACATTTCTTGGCGCTGGCATGATGGCTCAATGGGCTGATTCTCCACCTACAAGTGCTGGGATCCCTTATGGACACCAGTTCATGTCCTAACTGTTCCACTTCCCATCCAGCTCCCTGCTTATGGCCTGGAAAAACAGTAGAGGATGAGGATGGCCCAAAGCCTTGGGACCTTGCACTGGCGTGGGAAACCTAGAAGAAGCTCCTGGCTGCTTTGGATTGGCTCCGCTCTGGCTGTTGTGATCATTTGGAGAGTGAACCAGCAGATGGAAGATCTGTCTGTGCTCTGTAAACATGCCTCTCCAACAAAAATAATTAATTTTTAAATAAACACACCTTTATCTTGGGGGGTATAAAATGCATATGGAATGAGGGGGTGTGGCAACTTTCCTGGGGTGGCCAGTGTTTGAAGAGGAGGTGGGAGTGGTCATGTGGGGGATCTGGGGGAACAGCCGGCCAAGGACCCCCATGGACTGGGCTGGTTCCAGGAACAGTGGGGTCCACAGTGTAAGGCAAGGGGAGGTTAGCTCCTCCTCCGGTCCCAAGCAGATGGGTAGCCCGGAAGCGCTGCGGTTCTGGCTTAAGACTTTAAAAAAGACGGTCCAGGAGAACCCTGCAAGGACCTGGGGGCGAGGCTGGATGCAGGTGGGCCACGGGCAGCGGGATGCCTGGAGGGATTCTGGACTGCGGCTCAGGGGGAAGCGGGGCGGGTGCAGGTGGGTGTGGGGGTCGGCCACGGACAGCCTGGGGTCTCGGATGGGAGTGAGACCCCATAGCGCCAGGCTGCCCCGCGTATCCTGTTTTCCTGTTAGCCTGAGGAAGGTGCGGGCCTGTGCGGGCAGGGCCGGGCCTGAATAATCCCGGAGGAATTTAGCTTGCTCCTCTGGGGGTGGGGGGGTGGGAGGAGGGCTTTTCCCGCGGACCGCACGCAGCCCTCGGTAGGTAGACCATTCCGCAGCCGCACACGCGCATCCTTCCCGCAGCAAATCCCCACCATAGATCGCTTCCTCTCCAAGAGGCTCAAGTGGAGGAAATTAGGGCTAAGCCAAGTGGGGGCCGCAACAGTGTCAGGGCTGGAGTTTGGAGCTCACGGCTCGTCCCAGCACCCCCAGGAAGTTTTGAAGCAGCCAGCCTGGGGTTTCCGAGACTGCGTCTCGATCGGGCTGTTGTCCAGGGTGGGGGTGACGGCGCACAGCCAGGCCCGGTCCCCGTCTGGTACCCAAGTGCGGCGCGGCCCCTTTAAGGGCCGGCGGGTGATCTCAGCGGCGCGCCCGGCGCCCCGCCCTCCCCGGCGGCGCGGCCAGTGCGCAGGCGCGGCGCACTCGGCGGGGCCCGGGCCGAGCCGGCGGCGGCCGAGGAGTCCGGGCTGCGGCGCCTCCCGCAGCCAGAGCCCGCCGAGCCTCCTGCACACGCCGGCGCCATGGGCTCCTGAGGTACCGGCGTCCGGCAGGGGAGAGGCCCGCGCGCGTTTCGGGGGGCGCGTCGGCTCCGGGGTGGGGTGGGGGGTCCCCGGGCGGGGGGTCTGGGAGGGAGGGCACGGAGGCGCGCTGCAGCCGGGCCGCGCAGGGAGGGGACGCCGTGCCGTGGCCGCCCCGCCCTGTGTTTCCCGGGGAGGATGGTCGCCCCGTGGGTGTGCCCGCCTCTCTCCCCGCAACGCCAGCGTGGCACGGGCCGCGCCCAGAGGGGCAGGGAGGCTGGCCCCTGGGGAGCGGCTGGGGCCCGAGGGAGAGGGGGCGACAAGGCTCTGGGCAGGTGAGGTGTGTGGCGGTGGGGAGGCCGCTGTGCCCTGTGCACGGGCGGGGGTGGCCCTGGGGAGGGTGGTTGGCTGCGTGAGTGGAGAGGTGGGCAGTGCCGCCGCGGAGGGGGCCGCACGGGCACCTGGCGCTGCAGGGACCCTAGGAGGCTGATTATAGGCGCGGTATCCGTCCTGTGAGTTGGGCGTTTTCTCTCGCTTGGGGAATGGGGCACCTTGGATGGGTCAGCTCAGGGACTCGGTCCTGGGTGGCTGCAGGCCCAGGCAAAGGGGTGGACGCAGGTCCGTAGGAGATTGTATGACGCCCGACTTTTCTGAGTCCCTTGTTGCCCCCTACCCCTAGCATCCTGAGGGCCACAGCAGGTGTTTGCGCTGCCTGATACTTGTGTGTGGGAGTGAAGGCCATGTATGATTTATGACACCGGCGACTGCTTTGTGTAAGGGGAGAAGTGGCAATCTGTGCCCCGGAGGCCCTGCTGCAGTGCACACGAGCTGCCTGCACCTGCTGCACCTGCCTGGAGGTCTCAGAGGTGTGACTTTCTTGACAGATTAATGTCGCCGGTTCCTTCTCATTGGCTGGTTGCCCTCCATCTCCCCCCCCCCCCTTGTGCGGGGATGAGATGGAGGAGGGACCTGGGGCCAGAAAGCTGTCAGGTGTGTGAGGGAGGTAATAGCACCAGGGCGCTTGGATGTGGTGGCTGCTGGTAGAAGGCAGTGTGGCCTCCCAGAGGACTTGGGCACTGGCCCTGGGAGGAGCACTGGCGTTGGCCAAGGTGCTGGTTTTCCTGGTTCCCTCCTGCCAGCTGTGTGATTGTGGAGCTGTCCTTGCCCTTCTTTGTGGATGTGGCCCGGAAGAGGTGTCTGGTGGCCTGATTCTGTCCTGGAGGCCTGGATGTGGTGGGTAGGTGGGATGCCCCTCTTGTTGCCTTGTAAGTTACTGAGCAGCTCCCACATGCCGTGTGTCACACGAGAGTCCTGGTGTGTGCTCGGGAGATAAACACAGATGGGACCCTCAAGCCAGGCACAAGCTCCTTCCCCATGGTGCGGTGACCTGCCCCCACTGCCATGGGTACTTTAGTGCACTCGTGTGGTGCCATGTGGTCACTGGCTCCCATAGTGTTGGTGGGTTGTGCCAGGGGCTCTGGGTGCTGTTTCCTGTAGTTGGGGTGCCCGCAGGGCATCCAGGCGGAACATGTGTGTGCCATCACTGGTGACCACTATGGTCGGGTCCTGCTTCACCACCCTGGCTGTACTCTGGTTCACCACGCTGGCCGGGCCCTTGGAGCTTCGGCTTCCCACCTGGAAGCTGCTCCCTCCCCTTTAGTGTGTGCCTTTGGCTTGCCTGCCCAGCGCTTTCCCCGAGAGGGGCTCAGTGCTATTTCCAGTCCCGGCTGTGCTCATTTCTCTCCGTGTGTTCCCATGAGTGGAAACAGCCTCGGCAAGGCCAAGTGCAGCCCTTGGTTATTTTGAAAATGAGCACCGATGGTGAAAGAGACTGGGGAGTCGGGGTGTAAGCCTGGGAGACCTGCAGCTGGGTTCCCCGGGGAGAGCCGTGGCTGTTTGCCCTGGGCCTTGGGGCCGAGGCGCTGGCAGGTGGGTCATCAGCACTGACTGAGCCCTCACGTGGGCCCTGCTCTGTGCTGGGCCTAGGGAAAATGAAGCAGGAGCCTTAGGGTCAGGCCATTAAAAGGCTGTGGTTGGCTGCAGGAGGTTGGAGTGGAGCAGATCTGGGCAGGACAACACTGGACTTGTGGGGATAGGGGACAATAGGAACAGCGGCTCATTTATGGAGCACTTCCTATGTGCCAGGCACAGTTCAAAGTGCTTTGAACTGTGAAGAACTCAGCCTTCTTCTCCCGGTACCCTGGGATGGATGGAGGGGTCGCTCTGCCTTGGGGGCTCATCCCCCTGGGGCAGGTGGGGGTGACGCTGGAACTATGAAGGAAGTGGAAGTAAAAGGTGCAGTAGGTGTTCCCCAGGCCTGAGCAGTGTGGCTGTGGCAGACCCAGGCTACAAAGACTGACTTCAGAGAGGCCATGCTGAGGAGTTTGAACTTGATCTTAGGATGGTCCCTGGGAACTGTGGTGACATGTGACACGTTTGGCTTTGTGTGCGGGGTAGGGTGATCACCTGTTGCTCTTCCACGGGTGACTCCGGGAGCGTGGCCCTTGTCTTTCGCCAGGGCCCGGGCTCCTCCCTTGCTACACTGCCCTGGTTCCCAGCAGCTGCTGGTCTTGAAGTCCGTCTGTGAGCCAGGCCAGGCCCTGGAACCCACCGTTGCAATGGAGTCTCCTTCCACAGCTGACCGCTGCTGACTGTGCGTTGGAGCCACTTAACTGGAATCTTTTATTCCCACCCTACCAACGCTTTTATTTGTTTGAGGAGAGAGAGAGAGAGAGAGAGAGAGAGAATGTGAGTGAGCAAGCTGTCATCCGGTGATTTACTGCACAAATGCCCACAGGGATGGGGACCAAGCCAGGCTGCAGCTGGGAGCTGGGACCCAGTCTAGGTGCCCATGTGGGTGACAGTGACTCGGTTCCTTGGGCCACCCTGCTCGGGGCTGGGCCGACTCACGCACAGCCCTCCCTGTGGGGCTGCACGCAGGGTAAGAGATGAGGACTACTATGTTACAGGACTGTTGTCTTGTACAGCTGAGGGGTGTACGTGGAGACTATGGACAGGCTAGGGTGTTTGGTTTGAGGAGTGGGGTCGGGGAAGACTTCTGAACTGGCTAGGAGGTTGAGAGTTCAAGAATGGGTCAAAAGTGGACACTAAGCCCGTAGGCTAGGAGAGAATGGGGCCAGTTGCTCACCTGGTACTAACACCTGTTCTTTGAAAGTGGGGTGGGGGGTCTGACATGGTAGCTTAGTGGCTAAAGTCATTACTTTGTGTACACCAGGATCCCATATGGATGCCGGTTCTAATCCCGGTGGCCTCGCTTTACATCCAGCTCCCTGCTTGTGGTCTGGGAAAGCAGTCAAGGATGGCCCAAAGCCTTGGGACCCTGCATCCACATGGGAGACAGAAAAGGCTCCTGGCTTCAGATTGGCTCAGCTCTGGCCATTGTGGCTGCTTGGAGTGGATCAATGAATGGAAAATCTTCCTCTCTATCTATTCTCCTCTGTATATCTGACTTTCCAATTAAAAAAAATAAAAAAGAATAAAGGCAGGTGGGGGTGTAATAAAAAGGGTGTAATAAAAAGGAATAAAAGGAGGCAGGGGTGAGGGGAATGTTGCAGTTTCCTGGAGTTGTGAAATGTGAATTCTGACAGTGCAGTCATGCAGGGCTGGCATGAACCAGTGTCTGCCCCGAGTTCAGCAGGGTGCCTGGCTCAGGGAACAGCCGCTGGCCCAGTTGGTACTGGGGCTGCATGTCAGGCCACGGGCAGGGAGCTGCCCTCACGAGCTGAGTCCAGGAGCAGCCGAGCAGGTGTGCTTGTCAGGGTGCTCTCGCGAGAACACGGGCCACCCTCTGGGCATGTACTCCGCCACTGGGGCGACGTTTACACTGTTAACAGGCGGGTCCCAGGCCGAGCAAATGGAGCAGATTCTGTGCTATGAAGTGGTTTGGCCGGGAGTCACATCTGGTAGACCTGAAATGAATGCTCCTTGATGTGCCTCTTCCCGAGGCAGAGGGGATGCAGTGAGAGGCGGCTGTGGGGAGACGTCTCCAGTGGGCACCCACGTGTCAGGTTTCTCATTCCTTCCCTGTCTTCTCCGCCCGTGCACAGTGCAGCAGGGTGCAGGCCCTGTAGAAGCACAGATCTCAGCAGGTGTCGGCTCCTGGACTCAGCTTCCCTAGAGTGAACATAGGAGTAGTGTGAGGCTGGATCCCTGGCAGCCCCACGGGAGGCTGAGGGTGACTTTCCCAGGGTTACATTCATCTAAACTTCAGAGCCTGGGTGCTGGGAGGGCTGGATGGGTAGGAAGCATTGTCGCTGGGGCCAGTCAGAACCAGCTTGTTTACTGGCATTGAGTTTGTGGCATGGGGACCATCAGTGTGTGGTTAACAACCATGGGTTTGCACAGCTGTGGTTTGCGGGAGGGCTGCTGGTGTGGGTGGAGTGGGCATTCTTGGGCCTGAGAGGGGAGGCAGGAACCCGAGCAGACAACACTTTCCTTCTCTTATAGGGCGGAAGCTGGAGGGGGAAGATCCCACCCAGTAAAACCTTTGTCTTGGCCTGTGTCACTTCCTGCCTTTCCTGTGTGTTAATGAGGACTGTGTAGCTGAGGAGATTAGGTCTTGAGAAGTTGGCAGTGTTGATCTCCTCGGCTGCAGCTTTTAGAAAACAATTGGTTTCCCCTGTGTTAGCAATAGCCTTTGCAGACGGTAGTAAACTTGCAACATAGCAAAGGTTTGGCACAAGAGTTAGACATCACCTCAAGGTTCAGGTGGATGTTCTTTCTAGGCATGCATTTGCCTTACGTCACTGCTTACTGAACATCAAACGGTTGTACATATTTACCTGGGGCCGGGGCGTATTAGGCGTAGCAGCTGGGATACCTGTTAGGATGGTGGCATCTCCAGGATCCAGCCTCATGCTGCTGTAGGCCATGCGAGGCAGCTGCCCGCCCTGGGGAGGGTGCCTGGATCGGGTTCCTGACTCTTTGGCCCTATCTAGGAGTAGAGGAGTGAACCAGTGAGTGGACATTCTGCTTTTACTATGCCTCTCAAATGAA